GTACGACTCTGGTCGTGGAGTTCGCGCACTCGAGCTGAAGACCTTACAGCCCGATCAATGCGAATGGGACTTGGCTATTTAGGGGTTTAGGGTTTAGGGGTTTAGGGTTTAGGGTTTAGGGGTTTAGGGGTTTATGGGCTTAGGGTTTACGGTTTAGGGTTTAGGGGTTTAGGGTTGAGGGTTTAGGGTACCCAATGAGCACGGACATGAACACCTGAGGTTGCTTAACACGTGCCTTTAACCCTCTCTCGATCGATCTATTCATCTATCTCACTATCCATGCATCTATCTATTCAGATACCCAGCTGTGCAACTAGTACATCTTCGGGGCCAAGGCACAACGTGATGCCTGTGCGCGCAAGTTCCTCGGATCGTCCAGGAACTAGTTACAACTAATCTAAACCCTGAACATTTTAAACCATAATTCAGAAACCCTAAACCCTAAACCCTAAACATTGTAATCCAGAATTCAGAAACCCGAAACCCTAAATCCTAATAAGCCCCGAACCCCTGCACCCTAAGCCCCCAGACCTTACACGGCTTGCCTTAACCCCTAAGCCCCTCACACCCTTTCCCTAACTAAGCCCCTAAACCCAAACCCTAAACCCTAAACCCTAAACCCTAAACCCTAAACCCTAACCGGCACATCAGGACGATGTGCTAGCTCGGCTCTAGAAGCGTTCAGTTCGAGGGTACAGGCCGGCATGTCGAGCTTGTTGTGGGCTTTGGGGCTCAGGGGCTCCAGTCTCCAGTGCTCAAGATCAAGGGTTCCCTAAACCCTAAACCCTAAACCCCTAAACCCTAAACCCTAAACCCTAAACCCTAAACCCTAAACCCCCAACAAGTAATACCCCGAAACACAGAAGCCAAAAGGCCCTAGACCCGAAGCCCGTTTGCCACATCCGAGCCCTAATCCTAAGGCCAACTCGTAACTAATTATACGCCAACTAATTCCTCAACCCTACCGAACTCTCCATCCCCAAACCCTCAATCCCCGAACGTCAGCCAAAGCTCTTGATAAACCTGAAACGACTCCACAGAAGCCCTAGTAAGGGCCTGCACACCCAAAGCAAAAGGAACCTCAGCGCAGGGACACTCGATCTTAAACTCTACCTACACCCGCCTGGAGGCCAGCCCTCCTCCACCCTTCAGGCAAGGGTCATCAATGTTCGGAGTGGGAATCTGCGGGGATCCGTGGAAGGATACGTCGTTGAAACCTCGAGGGAGGAAGTTGTCTTTTCGGGTTGTTTATGGTAAGACACGCACCACTGACTCCTGAGATTTTGCTAGTTTGAGGGTTCGGACATGCTTAAAACTCGGGTTTTAGCTTGATTCCTGGAAACTCTGCGTCGGGACCTCATCTGTGAGCTGGTGACAGGTTCAAGGTTGCATCCATGGCCCAACCATGATAACGTCCACCCCGACTCCATCCGTT